GGCGATCCTTCCGCTTCAGCCTTCCAAGTAGCCGGAACTACAGGCATGCGCTACCACGCCCGGCTGATTTTTTTATTTATTGTAGAGATGAGGTCTCGCTGCCCAGGCAGGTCTCGAACCCGCGGGCTCAGGCCATCTACTCACCTCAGCCTCCCAAAGGTGCGGGATTACAGGCTGAGCCACCGAGCCCAGCGGATTCTTTTTTTTTTTTTCTCCTGTTTTTGAGTCGGAGTCTCACCATCACCCAGGCTGGAGTGCAGTGGCTTACTCATGGCCACCGCAACCTGGACCTGCTGGGCTCAGGCAATCCTTCCACTTCAAGTAGCAAGAACTGCAGGTGCATGCTACCGCGCTTGGCTAATCTTTTAATTTTCCTTTGAGATGAGGTCTCACCAACTTGCCCAGGCTGGTCTTGAACCCGTGAGCTCAGGCAATCCTCTCACCTCGGCCTCCCAAAGTGCTGGGATTACAGGCATGAGCCACCGCACCCAGTAAAATCTGAATTCTTAAGTATTTCATTTCAAAGGGAGGAAGGCAGATGGGGGAAATGTCTGAAAGTGTCCTTAGGGGGACACTGATGAAGAAGTTCAAGAAACACTGCCTTTGAATTAGCCTCAGGCTGCTTTGTGGGACAAGGTAGAATAAATGCAAGATATCTGTATAATATTCTCAAGCACTCTGTTACGTCTGGGTGCCACCACCATTCTGACGGTCTCGGTTCTGGCCTTGGGAGTTCACAGGCCATCACGGCTCCCCACTGGGGCTTGCTCAGGCCGGGCTCTGTGTCTTGGACACTGTCTCCTTTCACTGAGTAGGTTCCGTTTGTATTGACATTTACAGATGACATTTGCGCGCAAAGAGCACGAGTCACTTGCACAAGTCCGAAAGCCACCGTGAAGCAGAGCAGATCAGACCCAAAAGGTCTCTGCCTCACTCACCTGGCAGCTCTGCTCATCCCTGGCCTTCCACTTGGCCTGTGTTAGTCAGGGAGCCCTGAGAAGGCCTAGAGCCCTGTGCAACCAGTCTCGGTCCCAGGAAGGAGGGTGGGTGGGCTCAGTCCTCCCAGGATGCGGAGAGCAGAGCTGTCTTGTGGACTCCCCAGGGAGATCAGGCCTGTTTGGTTTGGGAGGTTCGGCCCCTGAGGCCAATTCCTGGGGATCTGGAGCATAAACACTTGACTGAGTTAATGAGGCCTCGCTTCTCACTTACATGCACCTCTTAGCTCCTACCCGGGCCCTTGGAGGACCAGTTCTATAGAGACAGGCCTGTGTGTTCAAGGCTGTGAGGGGAGAGGACTGTGTGTGTATGAGGCTGTGGGAGAACAGGCCTGTGTATGAGGTCAGTGTGTGTGTGTGTGTGTGTGTGTGTATGAAAGTGAGTGTGTAAGTGTAAGAGTGTGTGGAGTGTGTGTGAGAGTGTGTGCATGTGAGTTTGTGTGTGAGTGTATAAGTGTGTATGCATGTGAGAATGAGAGAGTATGCATGTGAGAATGTGTGTGTGCATATGAGTGTGAGGGAGTTTGTGTGACTGTGTGCATGTGCAAATGTGTTCATGTGAGAGTGTACGTGCTTGAGTGTGAGAGTGCATGAGTGTGAGAGTGCATGTGAGAGTATGCGTGTAAGTTGTATGAGTGTGTGTGCATGTGTCAGTGTATATGAGGGTAAGAGAGTGAGCGTGAGTGTGTATGAGAGAGCATGAATATGCTATGTGACTGAGAGAGTGTGTATATGCACGAGAGTGTGAGTTTGATCATGAGTGTGGCATGTGAAGAGGACCATATTGCGAGTTTGTAGAGCCTGGAGCATGTTCATTTGGCCTCGGGATCCTTCCCTGTGGAATGGGAGTGTCGTAGCACCTCACCCAATGGGT